GACAAATAGATGTCAATTTTGTGGGCAGATTTTTCTCTTCCTTAACATTAAAGGTTCTTTCAGACCATAACATCATAGGAAAAGTTCTTAGACTATATCTGAAGTGTGTGTGTGTGTGTGTGTGTGTGTGTGTGTGTGTGTGTGTGTGTTTCTTAACCATAAGTCACATAAAGATGTAGGTCGCATGCTACAAATGATTAAGTATCTATGCTCACCATAGCACTTCATTTGGTGGAAGTTTGGGCTCCCTTGATTCTTACAACAGGGAGTTCACTTTCTACAAACTTTCCTTAGATACTCAAAAATGACAATGGCATACATTGTGGACCAGGCAACATGTTAAAGGCTTCCCATGCATCAACTTAATCTTGAGAAAGCCCTCTAAGGAAGTATTGCCCTAATGTCAGAGATGGAGAAAAGGAAGTTTTAGGAATTCACCCACATCATACCGATTAAGAAAGAGTAAGAGTTCTAAGCTTGTACTCTAGTCCTTGTGACTCCAAAGCCAGTTTGTTAAACCATTAAGCAGTCTTCCCCATGCTCTGTTCACTCAGAGATATCCATTCAACCATGTCAATCTCACTAATGGTTTCTTGCTTCTCACTGAACAGAGAGAATGTCAAAAATATGGATTTGCAACTCATAAGGTTTTGAGAATTGGGGATTTATTTTGAGTATGAGTCTCTACATTCCAAAAGTCATATCCATGGGCAGCCACACGTAAACATACACAGGGAAAAAAATTGTAGACAGTATTTTAAATATGTTGCATAATAATGGGTTGTTGGATTTACTCTCCAAAAATGCCCTTTTCTTCTCACAAATAGTATAAAGATCATTACAGAAATCATATTTATAAGAGACACCATTTGACCATTTTCCCAGGTTCATATTGATTTCCTTATTGATTGCTTCTTTCAAAATTGGAAGAAGCAATAACACAGGAAAGTGGTGCTGACAGTTTCTTATTCCAAGGCCATCTTGTGAGAATTAATGGAATTCAGCTCTATCCAAGTCAGGAAAAAATTGAATTTGTGTTCTTTTGCTTATATTAAATAACATGTGCATATACAATAGATATATTATGTGCCTAATTTAATGCATTTTTCTTTTACTCCCAGTTTCTATGGATTTATATGAAATCCTGATGTATGTTATTATCCTTTCTGGGACATTTCAAAACTGGACTTCTTTAAGTTATATTTTATTATCTTTATGAGTTGTATAAAGAAGCTGAATTTTTCTTACCTTCTTCCAGGAGATCCCAGCCTGAGAATAGTTCTAGCTCTTCCATTTTCCATAATGATTGTCTAAATAAATTATTTTTTTTTATTTAATATTGTTACTCCTCAAATAATCTGGTACCTTCATGATTTTATTTGCTCTAGAGTATATCCAGGTATTTATTATAAGCTACTTCTTCACCTACTTTAAAAACTTAATAACAATCCAGAGAGAAAGTATGAGGATATTTTCATTTACTTGCTGATTCATTCTATTGTCTGAATTCCAAATATTTTCTTATTTTAAGACATTTTATTTATTGATTCCATATTGCAACTTTACAGCCTTTTCCACCTGCATTCCTCTAGGATGAACTGTAATCCACTTCTAGATTGTCGATGAGCTGACAGTCCCCAAACACTTCGTCTTATTTTCTAAGCTGATTAAACAACAAAATAGTGGTTTTATAATCCATAGGAGACTAAAGGACAGTTGGTTGAGCAGAAAAATGTAGAAAAACATACTTGCCACAAAATTGTGCATCCCTTAGCACATAATTGTTGAAAAGGTTTCATAAAATGCTGACAAAATCATCAACAAAAACCAGTACTGCTTATTTTCTAAGTATGTACATTATCTTATCAGTGAAGCTGTTTCAAGAAATTATAGTACATGGACATTAATTCTTTATATACTTTTGCTAATTCCTTGTATAAATACCTTGTGTTTAACCTTATCATTCACAGATTCAACCATGTCTTCAGTAATCAACTGAAGAAGCCATAGGAAAGAGAACCCAAGGAGGATAGTTCAACTGCCTTTTACAATATAAGTCAATAATCCTGCCTCTGCATATAAAGTTGTTTCTGTTTATTTTCTTCTTGCTCAACTTCATCTTCATGTTTTGTATCAAATATTTGACATCTCCATGGAAAGATTTTATGCGCAGTAAAAAGCAAAGGGGGAAATGTAGAACCAATATTTCAACTCATCACCTTGTGATATAGATGAAGATATATGTTCTTGCCTATTCATTCAGTATGAAATTCAATTATATGATCCCTATTTTTTTTGTTGTTCTAAGACTGGGCTCAAACTCACTACCTGATACATATCAGCTGAGCCACACCTCCAACCCCGTAGTCTTTGTTTTTCTCTCTTGCATGTTGAGTAACCTGTGTGAATGTCCTTTGTCATAGGCTTCACTAAATAAGTGAGAAAGCCATGAGATTTTTTTTTAGTGATTTTCAAGAGAGGAAGACATGATTGTTGTCCCAAATTCCTCTGAGTGTAAAGACCATTCTAAAACTCTCTGGGCTTCACTTATATTACAGGTATACTGAGAAATCAAGCCGTAATGTAACTAAATGGAGTTATATAAGAAAATTACATAGCACACAGCATGACCACAATAGGCTCTACGGGTATATGTTGTTGTTATATGTGTGATCGTCACCCACGCTAGAATATTTTCTGTAATGTCTTCTATTCATGAAGCTACAGTTACTGATTATTACCAAATATCAAAGATTTAGTGATAAAATGACTTTAAATATATTACTTTGTGTTCTAATAAAAATTATAAACACTGCTGGAGAAGCATTAGAAAATACACAGTCACATAGATAGTTCAAAAAAATAAAAACTTGGAATATTATCATGATCCTGGTAATTAGAATCTGGATGAATGGTTAAAAATCTATCCCTAGATCAGAGCATTACTGCGTGGACAGAAACATATATTGAACAACAAGCCGTTGGACATGAAACACCTGGTCCTAAACCTTGTACCTTTCTAATAGTATTTCATTTAGTCTTTGTTATGACACTTAATTTTTAAAAAGTACACTTGTTCTCAATTTATTTTTCATTAAATTAAGGTTTACTCAAGTTCACTCCAACTAGTAAATGGAAGATGTATTTTTCTAACTCTTCAGTCTTCCTGTTCACTGTGCAGTGATGTGGATCATTTTCATGAGCTACTAAGACACATCTCTATAAATATGTTCTCACATACTAGATGAGAGTGACATATTCTGATTGTTCAAACTTTATAGAACTGACTAAAATTTATCAACTCAAAGGGAAAGCATGAGATCTAGTTCTTTAAGCTTAAAACAGTTGAAAGTTGTTATTTTTCTTTTTCTTCTTATTTCTTAATACTATTTCTTTCTTTTCTATTTTCTTTCTTTCTTTTTCTGTTTTGGTGAGTCCTGTGGCTTGAACTCAGGGCATGGGTGCTGTCCCTGAGTGTTTGTCACAAGGCTAGCACTCAACCACTTGTGCTACAGTTCCACTTATGGCTTTTTTTTTTTTTTTTTTTGGTGCTTTTCAGTGGTGATAAGAGTCTCATGGACTTTCCTGCCTGGGGTGGCTTCAAACAGCAATCCTCAGATCTCAGCCTTCTGAGTATCTAGTATAGATTCTTTTTAATTATATTTTATTATCTTTAAGTAATTGTATAAAGGAGTTACCATTCAACAATATCGTTTATGAATGCAATGATTCTTGATGGGTGACATCCCTTTCATTTTTCTCCTCCATCTCTCCCAACCCAGTCCCTCCCCTCCATTTTCCTGTTTCCATAGGATGAGCATTGAATCTCATGACTGTACTCTCTGTATCTTCCTCTCATTATCCCTTTACTCTCCCTCTTCTTGATCTCCTCCCATACCTTTCGAGTACTAGTTTCATGGTATTCATTTTGTTGGACTGTGAATAGTTTTTCTCAGGAGTTACACCATTTGGATTCTCCCCTTAAAATACCCTATTTTGGTTAATACATTTTTGTATACTTGCATATAATCGCACATGTGTTTACTTGTATATTTTGCATCCATATATGGAAGACAGCATGTGTCCTTTGTCTCTCTCATCCTAAGTGACTTCACGTAACCACTTGTTCCAAGTCCATCCATTTCTATGCAAATGATGGAATAGCATTCTCCCTAATGGATGAGTAAAATTCCACTGTGTATAAGTATACCACAGTTTCTTGATCCATTTTTCTATTGAGGGGCATCTGGGCCATTTCCATACCTTGGCTATGGTGAATAGTGCAGCTGTGGACCTGGGTGTGCAATTAGACACCATAGTTGATTGGACTACATGAGACTAAGAATCTGCTAAGAAGTTCTCAGTTCTTAATTATTCCTGCAATTCCAGAACTTGGATGAGATATCTGTACAAAACTGTAGTGCCCAAGTCTATCTATGTATTTTACGTTTGTGTACGTATGAAGACAGCATGCCGTATTTAGGCACCTATGAGTATATAGAAAGATGGGATAATTGCATATAATTGAGTGATTTGTGAAGTAAATGGAACTAAGAATCAGAGAGCTAATAGTTAACTAGAGGGATCTTGACGAAGTCTGGATATCTTGAAACCTCAGCTTCCTCATTAGATCTATAGGTTCTGAATTGCAGAATTTTCTGGAACAAAGAGAATGTCCTGTATCTGTGCTGCCGAGTGCGGTAGCCACTACCTGCACATGACTACTGAGCACTAGAAGGGAATTTAATTTTAGTTATTTTTTGAGTCTGAATGGACACACACTGCAAATGGCTCTTCTAATGGAAGTGCTGCTACAGGAGGAAGGAAGAAGAGACAGTACTGGGCAAATGCTGTCAGTATCAGTCAAAATCCATTGCTCTGGCATACATGCTCTCATGGCTGCTTTTCAGGGTAACTGTCTTCTTTGAAATAGTGGCAATCACCCATGATCTCTTAGGACATTAAGGCTTAAACGTGTCTTCCTTTGTCTCTCCCAACAGATCTTGAAAACTTTAAAACAAGGACAAGAAGCACTGTGTCTGTTCGCCGAGGCCAGGGAATGGTACTTCTGTGCGGCCCACCACCCCATTCAGGAGGTACCTGTCCATCCGCTGACATGTGCACATTTTGCTGCCTGATTTTTTTTTTCCTGGCTGTGTGTTTTCCCTCTTGGTACTGGCTGAGGGGACAGTACCATTGCTAGAGATTCCCCAAGTCCCTCTATGTAGAGGAAAAGCCAAAATGAAAGCCTCCCATTAATTAGAGTAAGAAAATATCGAGTTGTACGAACATGCTATCCCATGGCTGTCTGCCTGGCGTCCGGGGAAAGGCAGCCACGTTGACTGAAATCAGGACCTGTTCTTGATAAAGCAATGTAGCTAAAACTACCAAGACTATTGCAGGGTAATTGGGTTTACAAAGATGGCCCTGCTTTGTGTTATCTCTGGAAAGGAGTCTGTGACTATATCTGCTCACAACACTTCTGACACCAAGTGTATATCTTTTACCACACCATTTAACAAGTCCCTAACCCTCTGGACACCATCTAAATGTCCATTGACTCCATTCTATCCTGACACTAATGTTCAGAATTAGTGTCAGACGCCCCCCTGAGCAAAGGCCCAATAACAAAAAACAAAAAACAAAATAAAACACCCTACTTCAGGTACCAAGTACCCTGAACTTCCATGCTTCTGACCAGCCATCCGTACTAGGTTCAGTAATTTTGTAAAATGACCCAATAAGAGGAAAAATGTTAATTTACTATATTCCAATCCATAAATATGAATAGCAGATAAAGAGATATAAAAAGTGAGGTACGAGAGTATGCTAAGGCCAGGGGCTTCTGTCCCTGTGGAAGTGGGGTGCATTGATGCTGCTGCTTCTTTTTTTTTTATTGTTGGTCGTGGGACTTGAACTATGGGCCTGGGCACTGTCCCTCAGCTCTTCAGCTCAAGGCCTAGCACTCTACCACTTGAGCCACAGCGCCACTTCCAGTTTTCTGGTGGTTAATTAGAGATAAGAGTCTCACAGACTTTCCTGCCCTGGCTGGCTTTGAACCATGATTCTTAGATCTCAGCCTTCTGAGTAGCTAGGATGACAGGGTGAGCCACCAGTGCCTAGCTGATGCATTGCTTCTTATCACATTGATGCATTCATGAAATCTTCCCAAACCTTGAAACATGTACAATTAAATGGAGATTTCATTATGTAGGCATAACTGTGAATCATTGCCCCTGAGGATTGAACTCAATGCCAGTCCCTATCCCTCCTCCAGAGGTAGAAGATGGGTGGAGGAAAAGAAGAGAAATTTGGAAGTGTCTAATCATATGACTGACTCACCTGGCAAACAGATGAACCCAAGCTATTTGGGAACCCACCTGGGGTCACCTCATTAGCATAATCAAGGATTATGAGGGGGAAGGAAATACAAGAGCCTCTTTTTATTTTGTCTTACCCAAGAAATTATAGCTTTAGGAGTTTTGTGCCAGGAACTTATGAAGAAAGTAATGGCATATTTCTAATTGATTGCAATAACATGATCAGATAAAAAGAACCGAAGTCCTCTCACCAGCGAATCCTTCACTCATCATAACAACTAGATTCGTTTGGTATGTGTTTCACTGCAAAGAACTAGAAAGCTCAATTAACTTTGGCTCGAGTTGATTAGAATTGAATCTTCTCACATGCATGAGTATCAAATGTATGCAGTCAACAGCTGTGGACCATTTATTTATTGTTGTTTTCTCCATGATGGGGTACTGGTAGGAATAGAATCAGGATCTTAGATATATTTGACAAGCAAACACTAGGCTATACCCCAAACGTTAAACATAAATTCTTTTTTTTTTTTTTTTGGAGGTCATGAGGATTGGAACTCAGGGCATTGTCCCTAAGTTCTTTCACTCAAGGCTAGCACTCTACCACTTGGAGCCACAGCATCACTTATGGTTTTCTGGTGGTTAATTGGAGATAAGAGTCTTACAGACTTTCCTGTCTAGTCTGGCTTTGAACCATGATCCTCAAATCTTAGTCTCCTGAGTCCCTAGGATTACAGGCGTGAGCCACCGGTGCTTGGCTAACCATCTTAATGATATCTTCCAGGACTCAGCTCTTTGTTTACTTCTGAGACCTTGCATGGTGGTATGGCTAAGGCTGAATTGTTTAGGTCAGGTTCGATCTTTGTTATGGAATGTTTGCTTTGTCTGAAGACTCTAATGTCATTTTATGGATCACCCCAGAAGTAAGGAGACTGAAAAATCAAATGGTTTATGGAGACAGGTCAGGCCCTGATCAGTATTATGGTTGTGTGGTTTTGTTACCAGGGGAGGATATGTAGCAATGAGACTTGGAAAGATGAGAATATGGAGAGGTATTACGTAGGCAATTTTCAGTATCTCTGAAATGGAGCTAGGTTAATCAGAGGGCAACTATAACAGCACATAAAGCATTCAGTAGTATGGAGATTTAATTAGTAGTGGTATTTTAGATTTTCTCAAAGATTTGTGCTGGTAAGATTGATCAACTCCTCTTCTTGATCATTGAAGCTGACATTCAGTTTGTTGCCTTGATTTTTTTTTTCATTTGACTTCATGCATGATGGTAAGAGCAAACTTTTCAAATTTAAAATTTGAAGAACACCCATATAGTTTTGTCTTATATCCAAAAGTTGTCACTTCCTTTTTTATCTGTGTCCCACCTAACAGTTCCAGCAGAAAATACCTTATCCACAAAATAGTTAAAAGGGTCACACTTCAAGCACACATACACAAAAGCAGGTGGAAAGGGCAGCCACCCATGTCCTGAATCGAGGACATGAAATGATTAGGATTTCTGACTTTTGAAGTCTACGAAGAACACAAGTTGCACCTGTGAGGTTTTAGATTCAGAAACAAGTTTACTCTTTAGTTTACTCCAGCAAGTTAGCATCATCAGTACTAAAACTGGAGTCCAGAAAAGAATTGGGGGCCTGGTACCGTTTCAAATCATTGTTGGAAGTTGGATACATATTTTCACATCTCTGTGCTTCATTCTGAAATAAGAGATATGGGAGGGGAAAAAAATGCCCCCTCAGGTCCACTTTAGTCCTGTCATGACACAAATATAACTCAAGAAAGACCAACAATCTTCTTTATCAAGTATGTCTTCACCCTTGAAACTCTGTCCTTTATATGAGGAAAACACTAAACCATGGAGATATATTTTCATTCAGGTAAAATTTACTCAGATTGATGCTTCTCTTCTAATGACAAAATCTGATCAAAATAAAAATAGAAGATTTTGCTAATTTTCAGAGCAGTAAGGCTCTGTAACAGACCCGATTAATGATTCTTCTTGGGGCTGTATTTTAAATGCACCATGCCTGACTGGCAAGATAATAGCTTCAGAAAAGGCAGAACACATAAAGTTAAAGCTGGCCTACCTACGCTATAAGGTATCTGACCCTTTTCTGTTCCCATGGGAAAATTTATTAAAACTTTCTGTAGACATTTGCTGAAATGTACTTGTCTCTGCTGGCAGCAGTCAGCAGCTCTGAAATCTGACATTCCTGACAATCTTGATGGTGAAAGACAAGGAAATAAATATCCTCATCATGGGCTCTATTCATGTACTCAGTACCCCTATGAGCTAGGCAGGCACAGCAAGAAATTTCCAAGAAAACAACAAAGCTGATCTTCAAGGTTGTAAGGGTGTCTCAGACATCTATCAGGCCCGGTAGTGGAGCCAGTGATTATTTGATGAAATCCTGTCAGTGATTGAAAAACTTCCATTGCAAAACTCTACTGCAGTGATTCTCTGACTGCTTTTCCAGGCTGTGTATCACCTCAAACCTGGCAGACTCACTATGAGCTCCTGGACCCACTGAGCAGTTTAGATCCAGCATATGGCATCCCAGTTTCAATTGTAACAGATCACACAGAGGGGAGGAAATGAGTCAGCCTTCTATTATATCTACGGGGTACTCAGTAATGGCATGAGATCCATTGTCAAGAATGCTGCGTGTCCTAGTTCGAAAACTGTGCAGTGTCAGAGCTTCTTGGGGCAATATAGAAGTGAGCAGCACTTCATCTGTTTTACAAAGCAGCTATTCCCAGCATTCTCCAGGCAAAGAGTCTAGCACCTTTATCATCTCTCAGTTTACAGATATGAAGTCAAAGGGCTGATCTTATCAAGAAGATTTTACCAAACCTTGTTAACAGAGATTATGAAATAAATGCAAAGCACTCTAATGGACTTTGATTGTTCTTGGTGTTCCTTCCCATTGGAAATAGAGATGATGACTTCCAGAATGTTCTCTGCTTTCCACCACCTCCTGGGTCTTTTGACACCAGCAATTCGTAACCTTTAGCTAAGCTCTCATTAAGAAGGAATAAAAGTGAGTTACTTCCTTACTTCTTCCAGTGCATTTAGTGACAAGATTATTTATTCTTGGAAAGCCTTACAAATTGTCCATGAGGGAAGTGGCCCTTCAGACCTTCCTTGTATCTGTCACTGTCAAAAGGTGGGACATGGACCAGCAGTAGCAATCATACCTGGGAATGGTTTTAAAAAAAAAAAAAAAGGCACAATCTCAGACTTTACATAGGGCCAAACTACATCAGATCTTGCTTTTAATGAGATCTCCCACTGACCATATGTATATTGAGTTTTGAGAAGCCCTGAATTCTACCTTTGATTCCTACCTGTGATCAGTGGTAGGCAGGCAGCTTTAGAATCATTGCGACAAACTATTGATGCTATAGGTGCCCAGCCTTTCCCCCAGGGAACTATCCTGTTTCAGTGGATCTGATCTGGGGTCCCCAGATAGATACAGGTACTTATACAAAACTCTAGTTAAATCCAGGTTTTACTAGATTTTAGATCTGGTCACTTTGACCAGCTATAAAATCAGCCCAGATCCAGAACAGCTAAAGATGGATTGCTTTGATTTGCACATCACCCAAGTAGAAGAGATTTGAATGCTCCTCATTGTCAAATTTATATTTATACCAGTCATGGGGGACCATGCCTGTAATGCAAGCAACTCTGAAGGAGATAATCAGGAGGATCAGTGTTTGAAGTCAGCCCAGGTAGAAAGTTTTTGAGATTCCTATCT